CTTGATCCCGGGTCTCCAGGATTATGCCCTGGGCTGAAGGCAGCACTAAACGGCTGAGCCACCTGCTTTATTGAGCTGCTCAATAAAAGGATTTTTAAAAATAAAAAAGAGAATGGGACTGAGGGCCTCGATAGAGCCTACCCTGACCACCCTATTTAAAATTACACCCTCCCTAGGGCACCTGGTTGGCTCCGTCGGCTCAGCGGCCAACCCTTGATTTCAGCTCAGGTCATGATCTCAGGGTCCTGGGATCGAGCCCTGAGTTGGGCTCTGTGCTCAGGAGGAGTCTGAGTCTGCTTGAGATTCCCTCTCTCCCTCTCCCTCCTCCTCTCTCCCCCATTCTCTCCTTCAAATAAATCTTAAAAAAAAAAAAAACAAAAAACAAAAAACCACTGCACCCTCCCCTTCTCAATCTCAATTTCACGCACCAGTACCTATTTATTACCTTTTAATAGGTCATGTAAGGTACTTATGAATTATGCTAAGTTGTCAGACCCATCCCTAGAACATAAGTGTCAAGAAGGCAGGATCTTCATTTCATTAACATAGTATTCTAAGTGCTAGACCAGTGCCTAGAACTAAGTGGGTTCTCAAAAAAATTTTTTTTTCGAATGAATGGATGGGGAATAGAACAAGACTGTGCAGCTGAGAGAAGATGGATGAATGGTAACTAAACAGGAGGCTGAAATCCAAGCCAGCAAGAGAATGGGGTTGCCATCAATGGAAATAAGCCAGTTTGCTCTGCAGAACTGCAACGAGGCTTGGGAATTGGCAGCAGGTACCTCCGTCAGGGGGGATGCAGCTGGAAGCTGGAGGTGGAACCGCTGCAGGCAGAGCATACTTTGACTCCAGCAGAACAGGAGGCTTTGACTCCCCGGGGAGACTGAGAAGCGGGATTCTGGATTAAAGACATAGCACAGCTGCAAGTGGAGATGCTGTACTTAATCAGAGGGTAAGTGAGACCTCTAGGCCCCTTCCTGCGTGCTTTGAGAACACATGCAGCCAGGCCTACTGAGTACCTCCCTCTGCAGCATCCCACCACTGAAGTCACTGAAGCGAATGGAAACTTTCTCTGATTAACATTGCTCTGTCTAGGAGAAAACTCAGTACCATTTAGGAGGTCATGGAGTCATGCCTTCACAATTATGAGGAAAAGTTATTTCCAGCCTACGCTTGTTGGTTAAATGATAGATCAAGTGAAGGACAGAATAAACATTTTTAAAAAGATTTTTACTTTTTTTATTCATGAGAGACACAGAGAAAGAGGCAGAGACATAGGCAGAGAGAGAAGCAGGCTCTGCGAGGAGCTTGATGCGGGACTCGATCCCAGGACCCCGGGAACACGACCTGAGCCTCAACTGCTGAGCCACCCAGGCGTCCCAAGAATAAACATTTTTTTTTTTCAGACATGCAAAGGGGTAAGATGTTTACTGCTTGTGCGTTCTTCCTCAGAAATCTGAGAGGAGATGCTCCACGGAAATGATATATTAATGAAAAAAAAGGAAACACGGGATCCAGGAAACAGAAGATTTAGCCAGCAAAAGGCATAGAGAATCCTCAGAATTATGGGGAAAGGAGATCTGAGGACAATCAACATACGAGGAGGGCTGCCCCAAGAACAAAAAGAACTGCCCGATTACATGGAGGTGTTGAACAGAGTCTGATTTCCCCTCTTATTGGAAAAGTTTGGGGATAAAATGAAATTGCTTAACAACTGAGCAAATTAAAAAAAAAAGAAATAGCCATTAACTTTGGGGAAACCAAAGTTTCCAAAGGAAGTCAGATAGTACTCTACGTGCTCTAACCTGCAAGGCCTACTTACCATAGTTACAGCATTTAAATACTGAATACTGACTTAACCAAAAACTATGATAGCTCTGTTAGAAGGCTGGGGGTGAATGAAACAGGTGTGGAGAGAGGGGAGGTGGATAAGAGAGCTAAATACTCTTGGTAACAAGTTTTGGACCTTATCACAGACAAGGGCATGATGGATGCCACAGCTAAAACAATCAGAAATTGGTGACTTCTGGAAAGCACGAATCTAGAGTGTGAAAGGAGTGGGCAGGAAATGTTTAAAAATACAAGCCTTTTAAATAATATTTTACTTTTTCAATCATGCATGTTTATAACTTAGGGAAAAAAATCCAAAACCAAAAAAGCAACCTCCAACACAGAGAGGGGAACTATACAGCCAAGAAAAACAAGAAAGTCCTGATGCAACTTGGACCTTTATTCTTCACATGGTGATGTGTCTTATTTAATAGAGTCTGAACCGATTAAAATAGATGACCAAAAATTAAATATTTAGACTATGTAGTGGATTGCATGATTTCTCAGTTATTTCCTGAGAAATGTCAGTAGCTGATTGGCGTTACAGCATAAAGCAGATATCGAGCTGAAACGCTGCTGGAAAAGTGTTATCTTTGCCAGTAAGCTACATAAGCTGCAGAAACTGACTTCTTCTCAGCACAGACCTAAAGACAGAAGAATCTACCCAGTGAGTTTTGCCAACAAAAATGAAATAAGCACAGCAATAACCATGGACAGGAAGTGGGAGACTATTTCCACACTTGCCAATTTTGGAGATTCAATCAGATTATCTCAAGTTCCTTTTTTTTTTTTTTTTTTAAAGATTTTATTTATTTACTCATGGGAGATGGGGAGAGAGAGGTAGAGACACAGGCAGAGGGAGAAGCAGGCTCCATGCAGGGAGCCCAATGAGAGACTTGATCCCAGGACCCCGGGATCATGCCCTGAGCCAAAGGCAGACATTCAACCACTGAGCCACCCAGGTGCCCCTCAAGTTCTTTTTTTAGTACTAAAGTTCAAGTCGGACCTTCACACGCCCCATCCTGACCCCTTATATTTCCTGAATATGGCATAGATGACCGTATGTCCCAGTGTTCTCAGAACAGTCTTGGTTTATATCTGTTGTTCACTTCTCCTTTAACTCTAAAAAGTGCCTAGTTTAGATGATAAATTACATGGCCTTTCTACCCATGATCATATCCATTTTAATCTTGTCTTATATTTCTAAGGAAAAACATGAATTTATTTTTTGACTTACAAATACAACATTCCACCATTTGCTTTCTCTGAAAAATTTGTGGAGAAATCTCGAACTCCTTTGTGGGTGGTTTGTGAACTATCAACAATGTTTTTAAAAACAGAATAAATCATAAGGTAAATTTTTCTTTTAAAAATCAGTGGGCATAATATTCTGTTAAAAGCATTAAATGTGGAATTTTGCTACTTCTTTAAAATCATGGCTGAAATACTTGTGGAAGAATTAATTCAATATCCTAGTAATACAATAAATTTTAATGATTAAAACAGTCCCAGAGTAAGGTCTTCCACTTGACTTTATTAACAATTATAACAACAATGATCTCAAAAGACTGTTTGTAGCAGATGAGATGTCTCATCCATCATCATGACTGTTTAGAAGCTAAGGAGTTACCAACCAGGGAATATGTCCCTTTTACTGCACAGACAAGCTCTGTATGCTAATAATTCCCAAATTTTCTTTAAGGTTAGGACTAAGAGCTCTGCCAATCCCTTGAACAACAGCTTACATATTATTCAGGGAACTTGAAACACTCCTTTCATAGTGAGCAGCACTGAAACAGATTCCGTAATTGATTACTCATTTTACAAGGAAGATTTAACATTTTTTGGTTTTCTGGAGGATACAAAGAGTTCCTTAGTTTAATTCAAATATGATATAAAACATGTCTCATTATAAAGAGCTGTGCTTCCTTTCAGCATTTTTTTTTAACTTAACCACTTAAGTCATTGCCTGTGGAAATTTCTTTTTAAGTGAATTAGAGGTCCAATTGGAAGAAAAAAAAAACCCATTTAATCAATTTTGTTTCAAAGATCCATGATTATCATATTTTTAAAAATTAAAGAATGAACTAACGTGTTAGACTGCAGCATGCTATGATGACTAATTTACTGTTTGCCCTAACCTAATGAAAACAAAAGGTAAGCTGGATTTGGCACTCACTTGCACTTTCTATCCGTATTAGAAAGCATGCCTTCAGTTTTTGGATCTGAGATCAGGTTCGCTTTGGTAGCCTCAAGAGCAATTTTCCCTTTTTTTCAAAATTTGCTTTTGATCGTTTCAGACAATTCATCTTCTCAAATGAGAAAGAGAAGAGAGGAATGTTGAATGAGGTTAAGTAAACGGAGAATCTGTCACATAAAGCAAGTTTAAATCCCAGTAACAGCATCCATCCTTCCCAGGACAAACGGAAGCATTATTCTTTTGAAAACATTATTCTTTTAAACAGTGTGTAATGACATCCTCCCTAGAGACTTCCTCCACAAAAGAAGAAAAAATACTTCCCTTCAGAAGTCATCTTCTAGATGCCAAGTGTAAAGAGTGAAGTCAAAACTTGTGTTTTCTCTGTGTAAGAAGGTTCAGAATTAGAATTGCAAAAAGATGTTTCTAAGGGTTTCCTTATGCCCATTTTCTGTCACATACTGGTATTTCCACGAACATAAAGGACTAATTAAAAGAAAATATTGCCATTATTACTTTAGACCTACAAATCAGCGAGTGTGTCCTTACTATACTTTGAGCCAAGTGTATTTTCTGGTTTCAAGGAAGTCTGCAAGACTCAAATATATGGAATATAAGTTAATTTACTCTTAAGTTCCCTATAAGTAGGTGACTTTCTTCTGCTGAAATATAAACCATGGAACATGTTCCCAGCACTCTGTGCTCCTGTTACCACCTGAGAACTTGCTTGACAAGAACTATGAAGATTTTATGTCTTTAATTACTTAAATATCAGAAGTTGGCTTTTGTTTTAAATGTTTAAAATATGTCTAGACAACTAAAGGTAAATAAGCAGAGAAATTACTTCTTTCAATTCAAACACTACTTAAGAAATTTAATTAATGCGTGCCCAAATAAACAGTTCTCTTCAAGGATTTCAAAGCTGTTGCAAACGTGTTTAATGTAATAGAACAAAGAAGAAAGACTCTATAGATAAATCATAATTACGATGTTTATTTAGCAAAATAAACTTAACATCTTCTATTAAAAAAACATAAGAATCATATCCAAATTTTAGCTTCCCAATCTTCTTTGGTATTGAAATCAATGTTTGGGATATAAAATATTTTATTTTCAAGTTGAGCCACTGGCTCAACTCTACAACAGTTTTCCATATGTGGAAAATAGAAAATTAAGTTACCTGTAATTGTCTTACTTATTGAACAACCAACTGATGCATTATGCGTCTGCAGAGACCAACATCAAGGAAATATTCACTCACTGATATGTTTTTCTACTGAAATATATTTAAAAATTTTAATGATTGTCTGGCATCATTTTATTGTGCTGTCCGAATAGTAATCCAATATGGAGATCCTGTTTTCATTTAACTAATGAACTACTTGTCAAGAAAGTTAACACCACCATACCAGGACTTAATAATACTTATTTTTCACCATGACTACACCATTTAAATTTTTTTCTGAATTTCTCAGCACTGTGTGCTTCAGTCTTTTCCATAAAATAGTATCTGGAAATTGCTAATAGCATTAAATTAATATCAATAAAACCCAAATCTATCTAAATCTTTTCCTTAAAACCAGACTTGTTGTTTCTTCTGAAGAGCAGTATTATGTGGACTACTAAATTAGCCATGCCAAATACTTCCAGAAACACCATGGGACAACCAAGCTACTCTTATTCCTCTGGTAAATCTTTGCCTTTCCAATTCTGATTTCTCCATATCCCTGGCTTCTTGTGTGAAAATATCTTCCCCTTAATTTGTTAAAAGGAATCTGAGATTAAAAAGTCCAGTAACAAACTAGGGCTTTTTTTTTTTTTTTTTTTTGCATAGACTCTTGTGACCACAAAATGACCAAACAGTGTATAGCTTTAGTGCTAACACTGTGATTGGGAACAAGAAGAATACAACCACAATAAAATACAGCTATCTATTAGAAGGACTGCATAAAGACATCTTTGGCCATGCAGGCTCTGGGCCCTCTGGAAATAAGTCAGTTGCATTGCCAACATGACAAAGAAAATAGCAATGTTCAGGATCAGGAACAGTCTGGTGTAGGAAGATGACAGCGACGGGGCTCTGCTGCGCATTGTTGTCATCATCCGGGCCTGTCCAAACCGGCCTTTCAGGGCACCACCGTTTTTGTGTTTCTCAAATGTCACATCTGCAAAGTCTAAAAGGTCTTTCATTTCTTCATCTTCATCTATGGGCAGTTCTTTCTGTGCCAAGATCTGAGCTTTCTGTCGAATCTTTTTTTCATTGACTTCAATCTGTGCAAAAATATCAGGGACGGCGTCCACAAATTTATAACGTTTGCCTACCCTTCGGTTTTTCTTTGACTTGCTTTGCTGCTGCTGCTGCTGCTGCGATATGGCAAAAATCCTATCAATGGCCTCCTCCGTCTGCCTCTTGTCTGAAAACCTCAGCAGGCGCTCGGCAGTCTTCCTAAAGCTAGCTGTGTTGCGGACCCGGGACAGGATCTGCTTCTCCAGCAGCTGGAACACGGGCTTAAAACGCTGCAGGTTCTGTTCCACCACAGTGGCATAGTCCTTCACCTCCGGGATGGTGGTGCTCTTGATGGCCGAGCTCCGGTCGAACAGAATTTTCTGACGATCTGCAATGACCTGTGCAAAGGCGGATTGTCCCGCGGTCTCTCCGCTCCAAAGGTAAGTGGCGTAGGCATGCTGGCTGGTGGCTATGAACACGTCCAGCTGCTGGGTGTCTCCGTGGACGCTGAAGCTCTGAACGTCTACCGATGGCCCTATGAAGAGGTAAACTGTCCTGGTGATGGGACTCCGGAGGCGCACGGTGACATTCACATAGTTTGTCCCATTGTAGGGATAGCCCCGAGGGTACGTCACTGAAGCCAAGGTTGCTTTCTCACTGTAGCCAGTATCGTCCATCCAGTACATTTTGTAGAGACCGTCCCGCTGCCTGATGAAAGCCCCGTGGACCCCATCTACCGCTGTCTCCTCGAAAGGGACATCCACATTGTGGAAGAAGCTTGCCGCCGTCTCCAGAGGGCTCTTGTCTCCCAGGTGTATTTGGTCCACAAGGAGAAGCAGCTGTGGATGCAGGAGGAACAGATTCCTCTGAACACTCTTCAGATTCAGCTGTGGGTTATAAGCTCCCACGCCTTCTCCTCGGATGAAAACCACTCCGTTTTTCTCCATTGCTGCAACCACCCTCCCCTGACAGCTGGCTGCCAGGTCATGCTTGTATTTAGACCATTTTGAAGAGCAGTCTTCCGTGACCTGACCCTCCCAAGGAGAAAAGCAGCTCTTTGACACAGCTGGGGAAAACATCAAAACGTTGTTGAAGAAGGTGTACTTTGGCCCATAGAGAGCCTCAGTAATGAAAGGCACGCCATTGGGAGCAAAAGTAAATGAGTTTTGATCAGGATGTTCATGCCCTGCATTAAAATTTCTCCATCCTTTGATCCAATCTTTGTATTTGTTTCTGTGGACAATGTCATATATTGCACGGCCCCCAAGTTTTCCCGACTTGAAGGAAAGAAAAGATCTGTTGATTTCTGCAGGCAGGGCACTTCCGTAAGTCACAACACCCCAGTCTTCAAAATAATGCAATGTAGGGGTGCCAAAATCCGGAGGCGGAACAGATTTCAAGCTGGCATCGTACCTGAAAGGATTAGTTTTTCAAAATTAAATGGTTTTCAAAAAAAAAAATTAAATGGTTTTCTGGTGGAAGTTAAAATAACCCGTCAGTACTGTGATGCCACTTTGCACTGTGGCTGGAGGAAACACCACAAATGATACCCAGAGTGCTGGCAGTGGCTTCTGGAGGAGGGACACGTCTGGAAAACCCATGGATGAGCATGCATGGGGGAACACCCTTCGTGAGGGGGAGAGGAGTCTATCTTCATTACCTGTGATCCTTGGGTTTGAGCCTGAATGACTGTTGCCTCTAATCACCACATGGACCTTCTTCACTTAATGATTTCAGAGCTGCCATCCGAAGGACCAGGGCTCACAGAATTACACTTCTAAACTTCTAGTCTACGGGCTCCTATTCTTGAGAACCCCATGTTAGGATCTAGACTCTAATAAGCCTAGACTTGTAAGGAAGTATTGTTCTGTGACAACTGACACTGAAAGCTTGGTAGAGTACTTTTCGCCCTCTAAAAAATTAATTTTAATAGAATTAAACTTCATATATTAGATAAAATTTACTGCTGATACCACATCTAAGAATATAAGTGGATAAAATTCTACTAATACTGGGAGATTATAAGTGTGGCTACTACTGCCTACCAACAACCATAGGCTTTGTTTTAATCTTCAGATGATATCATGGACTTTGGACAAAAAATGTCCTCTCATTTTTATTTATGACAAATGTTTATTATTAAATTTATACAATAGTTAACATTAAACTCCCGCAGCGATTAAGAACACAGGTTTCTGAGTCAGAGAGGGGCCCCGAAACATGATTATTTGCTTTTGATGATTTGAGATAACATTCAGACAGGTTTAGATGATTTCCTCCTCAAGGGAAGAAAGGCAGGCCTATACTATTAGCTCTTAGATCTCTCTAAAATGAATCAATCACCTATGGTTAGTATTACTGGTGTTTGATTTCGGCCATTTCGTCTGTTGTTCTACGGTCTCAGGCCATCAGAAACTGTGTCTCTACTCAGGTCTAGTTAATAATGTTGGCTTAATTATTGTGATTTAACAAATCCAGGCACAAGATGAATTGGCCATACTTCTCTGTGGTCAGTTTGCATATTCCTATGAATGGCAGATTTTGAACCAAGTTAGACTTAGCATTAATCTGATACCTAGAGTCAGGTTTATAGAACACTCCTGGTTGTTTATTTAGGGTAAGTGAAATCAGTATTAAATAATTACATCACACCCCTAACAGGAGTCATGAATTGTTGTATGTTAATATATCTACTTCAACTGTAATAGTTTTTAAAAATGCTGGTTAAATTATAACCGGTTATAACGTTATTAGTGTTTTTATTCTTAATTGTTTAAACTAAAAAAAAAATTATGATGAGAAGCAAATCAAACCACAGAAGCTTATTTTGGAATTGAATACACATTTCAATAGCTTGAAAAGACATCAAGGATTAATGAGCAACCAGTTCCCTGTAATTTTTATTTTAATTTATTGGATGCCAACAATGTATTTGGCAGTACTTTAAAAAGGAGACTGGCTTCTCTTTCTGGGCTTAAAAGATTAAGGCAGAAAAAATTACATGGTTCTTTTATTATCAAAGTGAAACTGTCAAATACTGTCAAACAATTTTACACAGTTTTGAAAATTCAGTAACAGTTTTGTTATTAGAAGATTATAATGCTCCATTTACTAAAACAAAACATTATCCTACCTTTATTTATTTATTTCTTTGGTGTGATTGTCGGAATAACCCAGTCTAAATTTTGTGCTTTTTATCTTTATATGATTTCAAAAATTATGTAAATCAAAACATGCACATCTATGAAAGGAAATGTCTCTAGCAGAGTGTCAAACGCTGCGACAGGAATTAAAACTGCCAGTGCTGAGATGGCATATGGAGAAGGGATTACAAAGTGTCTTAGTTTTTCTATTTTTAAATGCAGAAAACTAGCACACTGTACCTCTTGGGACAATTTCTTTTTAAAGATAGCTCAGCATGTCCTACCAGAGAAATTCTGTGTGAAGAGTACACCAGCGCTGCCCTTTGGATGGTGTCCCTGGACCTTCCGTCACACGGTTCCTCCTGATTTGGTCAGCCAGCCAGTTACCACTGCCGTTACGCATGACAAATTTATCCAGGAACACTAATTGGCTTTCTGGACCATAAAACCAGTTGTAATTTGAGTCTGCAATAGCCACAGTTCTTTGAAACCCTGGGGAAGGAAGTTTGACAGAATTAAGATAAATTTAAAACTGCACGCTCCCATAAAGATCTAAACAATGATTTTCAATCCTGCTTGCAAATTAGAATCAACTGTGTATCCTAGATTAAAAAAAAAAAAAACAACCCAAAAAGCATGATGTTCATGCTTCACCCCAGACTAGTTAATGATACTCCCTCTGAAGGTCCTCCACAAATCTAGCGTGCAAGTTTGTATTTGCTGTGTGGCAACTTATCATTGGTAGTGGAAGTGCCATAATTCTTAAAGCTTAGTATACACCCCACCTTCCTCATTTTCCAATGTCCATGCTATGTGTCATTATAACTGCAGACACATATGCTCTCCTCTGGTGCATGGTGATCTCCTGAACCTGGAATGAGCATCAGCTTTCCTACCAACTCAACTGACCTTCCACACCAAGATAACGACATAAGGTGCTTCAATTTGGCATCCCAAAAAAGTGGAAGTTATAAGACTTAAAGAAGACACTGCAGTTCTATAGGAAGGAAACTTAATAATTCCCATAGAAGATCGTGCTAATATGTACTGCTGGAAGTTAAAGAGAGGAAATGCAAAGATCATACAGCAAAACAAAAGCAGGGTAAGACTGGATATGCAGGTGTTCTTGAAAAGGAATGGGACACAACTCTGGGCCAGACAGGAGTAATTATTACTAGAATAGCCATTGGAGAGGGAAAAAAAAGAGAGAAAGGCTGTTGAGAACAAGTTGACTTTTAACATACAATCCCTTCTAAAATGATACCATGATCATATTTACATAATTTACAGCTGATGTGTTTTGCTTCTATCAGTTTAGTAAATGCTATCCCGAGTGAGTCCTTATGGTGAAATGTAATTTTCTGAGTCTTCTATTAATCTGTGAATTCCCTGAAAGCAAGTATGTTTTATTTCTCTTTGAATCCCCTGCCTGGTACAGTGCCTGGAACATAGATATTCAATAAGGGTTTGCTGGATTAATTGACACAAATACATGAATCTTCCTCTTAGAGGTGTTCATACTGTCTTTCCAGTTTAGGAGGCAGTCATAGACAGCTCACAGCAGTGATATGGCTGGCTGTCAGATCTCAGATCAAATTACAAAGCACTGAGACCTCTTCCAAGGTCCCTGGCTTTAGATGGCCTTTGTCTATCAAGATAAACTACAAAACAGGCCTCTCCTGTGTATCTAAGAATAAGCAATAAAACACTAGGGTTCTGAAAGTTAAGTCTCAACTAAACTTTAGAAATCTTATGATCCTTTTGCTCTGCGTTACTTTTTGGATATTTAATGCAATAATGGAGATTCTATTCAGTGTCCATATATATGCAACCAGAGCAAAAAGATTTAAAGACTGGATTCTTTACTGTAGATCTAGAATCAGTACCTAAAAATTGCATTTCACTGGAGGAAAAAATCCCCATCCTTGTTTCCTTTTTTTCTTTTCAAATTTTTATTTAAATTCTAGTTAACCTACAGTGCAATATTAGCTTCAGGAGTAGAATTCAATGATTCATCACTTACAATCAACACCCAGTGCTCATTACAAGCATCCTCCTTAATTCCCATTGCCCATCCAGCCCATCCCCCAGCCACCTCCTCCCATCAACCCTTAGTTTGTTCTCTATCTTTAAGAGTCTCCTATGGCTTGTTTCCTCTCTCTTTTTTCTTTCCCCCCTCCTCCCATATGTTCATCTTTTGTTTCTTAAATTCCACCACATATGAGTGAAATATATGGTATTTGTCCTTCTCTAACTCATTTCAGTTAGCGCATAATACACTCTTGCTCCATCCATGTTGTTGCAAATGGCAAGATATCATTCTTTTTGATGGTTGAATAATATTTGATTATATATATATATATATATATATATATATATATATATATATATACATATACACCACCTCTCCTTTATCTGTTCATCAGTCAATGGACATTTGGGCTCTTTCCAGTTTGGCTATTATTGATACTGTTGCTATGAACATCAGGGTTCATGTGTCCCTTAGAATCTGTATCTTTGTATCCTTTAGGTAAATATCTAGTAGTGCAATTGCTGGGTCATAGAGTAGCTCTATTTTTAACTTTTTAAGGAAGCTCCATACTATTTTCCAGAGTGGCTGCACCAGTTTGTGTTCCCACCAATAGTGTAAGAGGATTCCCCTTTCTCCACATTCTTGCAAACACTTGTTTCTTGTGTTGCTAATTTTAGCCATTCTGACTGGTGTGAAGTGGATCTCTTTGTGGTTTTGATGTGTATTTCTCTGATGATGAGTGATGTTGAATATCTTTTCATGTGTCTGTTGGCCATCTGGATGTCTTCTTTGGAAACTATTCATGTCTTTCCCCATTTATCAACTGGATTATCTGTTTTTTGGGTGTTACAAAAATCCCCATCCTGATGAAAATATGCCTACTAAACTTTTTCTGACATCTTAGTCCTCTTTAGAAACAAAGAGTTATAAGGCTATCCTAGAAACGAAAGTGTTCTTAAATCATATAGATCTTTTTTTAGAGCTAGTTCTCTTAGAAGGCTGAGCTACATGGCAACAAGGAATTAGAAGTTTTGTAACAATTCATTTTTCAATTTTTTCTATTTTATACTATTTATTTCAGTAAACTATTTAAAGAAAAGATTAAAGCTCCAACAAATATGTAGGTATAATTTTTCATTTTGAGTATCTGAACAGTTTGAAAATAAAAAAACTAAAAACCAAAAGAGGATCAATTTGGGATTGCATGTAAAGGAAAATTAACATGTAACCATAAATGTTTATAATTTGTTAAGATTCAAGAAAATGAGTTTGTATATGTATCCAAGTTTTACATCTACAAAAATAAAAGTGCTGTGGGAGCTACAAATTATATTTGATCCATCCATTATCCTCTGAGCTTTATAATATATAAATCACAAATCTTCATAATAACTTCCCAAATGCTCCGGTTATATGCAACTCTTGAATTCCTTCATTTTTTATTAAAAAATCCCTTTTATTTCAATATCAAACTCCACATTTCTCTTCTTAGTCTAACCCAGTTTCATAATTAGAAAAAACTGTAATAGTTAATGATTCTTCACTATACCTGGTAGGATGGTTCTATACATAAATGCAAAGTGCTGTTTAAGCCATGGGTGGCCAAAGTGGTTGATGTCAAAGTGCCTCTGAACCAGAAACATATACTGGAAGAGTGATCTCGTGGTGTAGCTGCCATATGCAACTCCTTCGTAGAGGGAACCATCTGTCACCTCTCGGAGCAAGACCAGAGACTTCTCCATGATGGTCAGAACTTGTTTGGTCCATAAATAGGCTTCTTGAAGATACCCTGGAGAATGAAAACACATGGAAACAATGACTATGGCTGCAATGAAGCATAGGGAAAATTATGGCCAAGTAAAACCCTCTGAGTTATCTGACTACAGTGCAAATAGCATTTTGTAAAACTCTCACCTACCAACATTATAAATCCAGGTTTGCTAATCCAGGTTTGTGTCGGGTCTGTGATATAAGTTAAAAAGTTCTTGAATACAAGTCAGTTATTAATTAAATTAAGATAAACCTTGAAATGAGTATTAGTTTCTTATCTATAATAAATTTGAAATCCCATCACATCCAAGATTACAAACTGCATATAACTTTAAGTTTACAAGAAAAGATCTGGGGGTACCGGGTGGCTCAGTCAGTTTAAATGGCTCTCAGTTTCGGCTCAGGTCATGATCTCAAGGTGGTGGGCTTGAGCCCCACATGGGGCTCTGCGTTGAGTGCAGAGTCTGCTTGTCCCTCTCCTTCTTCCCCTCTCCCCCACTCTCTGTTTGCACATGCTCTTGCTCGCTCTCTCAGATAGGTAAATAAATAAATATCTTAAAAAAGATCTGTATATTGAGACTTCTATTCAGTTTTTCTAAAAACCACTACTTGAAAATATTTTTGAAGCTTATCATTTATATAAATTGTGCCATTATTTTATAGGATTTTTAACAAGCTGCAAATACTATACAAGTTAAGCAGATAGTCTTCAATTTGTTCCATCATTAGAAGACAATTTCTCATCCTGTATGTGCCTTTAGATTCCACAGGATCTCAAAAGGCAGCACAGTAGGTTGAGGCACCACTGGAGTGACAATCTAATAAAAAATCTAGTGAAAAATATCAACTGGAAAAAATAAACAAAAATTTTAAAAATAAAAATTAAAAAAAAGAAAGAAAGAAACCACTGGGAGTGCCAAATCTGCCAAAAAAATGAGCTACAAAATTTTGTGCAAGCACTTCAACCTGTCACATTTTTCTACTTCTGCAACTAAAAATTAAAGGCCTTAAAATTTTTATGAAATACTTTGACTCAAAACTGCTAGCTTTCTATAATTCTTGCAAGACTAGCATTTAGGTAATAATAACAACTTGCATTTCTAAAACATTTGTAATTTACACAGCACTGAACACAACCTTACTTAATCCTTTTACTAATTCAATTAGGCATTATTACTCCAGAATTACAGAAAGCTTGACTTGTTCAAGACCTCTGACACATGACCAAAAAATGAACATAACCTTTGATCTGAATCTAGGTCTTTAGATTTCAATTTTGTTTTGTGTGCTTATATTTAAAACATACAACTGGTAAGGATATAATTAAGCTCATTGCCTCCCGATGTGGATGGAGTCTTGTTGCTTTGCTCTCACAGACGTGTATGATCACCAGCGTTGAACACTACCATAGCCTACTGTGCTTGTGTGTTGGGTGTGAGGGCTTCCAGGGGCCCCGGGACCACCAGATCTCAGCGTGAATCCAAGGTCCCAGACTCTGTCAGACCTGGATCCCATCTCATGAGGGCAGCACTGATCTCAGGCTCAACTTGAAGAGGTGGCTGTGAATGTACCCTGACTCCTCCTATCCAGCTCTACACCTGACATGCCAGTCTTCTGGATAGCTTTTAGTTTCCATTCTGTAATCATTTGGGTTTAAAATTCTAGTCGTCTTCATCTTTTTCTTCTCTGTATCCTCCATCTCTAACCAGACTCCAATGGAATGCTTATAATCAGGCCTGCTACTTACTGCTCCCTGGTATCACATTACCTGGTTTTCCCTGATTTTTTTTCCTTACAACCATCTTGTTCAGGAGATATGAGGCAATGTCTACCTTTGTAAACTTCAAATCTGTCAATATGAGGCACTGATATCGTTATTTTATTTCTATTTAAATTTTAGTTAACATACAGTGCAATACTGTTTTCAGGCGTTGATATTGTTATTGATGCTATGCCCTGTGCTTTACCACCAGCCATACACCCTGCTGGAATGTTCTTCATTATTTTCACTTATCCATATCCTATCTATCTTTCAAAGTTCTATGAACCTTCTCAAACTCACCTAAAGAACACTGTTGTCCTGAATTCAAGCTCAATACACTCAATTGATATTTAACCATAGCTTCATGACATCCCTTATCTCATTGCATATTCATTTAGACATTTCACATGTCTTCCTTCCAACTGATTTGTAAGCTGCTTCTGTGTGATCCTGTGGTCCCTGTGCACCAAGCCTTAGAAAGAGTTAGGACATCAGAGAGAACATTCTAATTCTCCCACTTCTGAGATTGTATGTGAGTCCAATGGGAAGTGTCAGTACACTAAGCTCCCCGAGCATCTATGAGGCTGGTCTGGGGAACATGGGATTGTTGAAACAGCCTGTGCGGTAGCTCCTAACGGTAGTGAGCATGCCTAGAAAGGCAGGATTATAAACCTGATTATTAACTGGGATGGGCAGGGCCAGAGATTTCACTTCTTCCTCTGTCCAATCATCTTATAAATATGTACATTGCCTATGTGGCGATTCTGCAACACTGTATCCCTGAGCCACCCACAACTGTAATAGAAAATAATTGCACATGGAAACCCCTGCCAGAGGAGAATTATACATTTTGACTTAATCTGAACCAGTGTTTTCGATGCCTGCATGTTATCTGGAGTAATCTTACCTACCATGAAGAATGAAGAAATAAGCTCTATTCCAGCTACTAAATAACTAAAAGTTTATATGAAGAAATAATACTATACTAGGCTAAAACCCAAGACCCCAGGCTGAGAGCTAGCTTATCCTGCCTGGGTTCCTTCCACCATTTCATGATGATGTCTTTTCACAGGCCTTGGGATTTATTTATAAATAGTTGAAGATGTGTATTTTGATATTTTATTAATTTTTTTTTTGCATTTTGATCTTTTAAATCTTGTTTGTTTCTGTGAGATTAGAGGGCTATAGGAGCTAGGATGAAACTTGGCCCTCATAAAGCTTTCCTTAAATTACTATAAATTGAATCTCTACTCCAAGAGAGGCAACAAAATATAGTGGAAAGAGAGTGAACTTTGAATTTGGCCAGAACTGGTCCAAATTCCCAGCTACCTTATATGGCTGATGGGACAATTAAATTAAATAGGAACAAGGATGAACACATGTCATATGTTTGATTCATATTAGTTTATTTTCCTTTAAGACTAATTAAAAATGATGGCTGGTTGATAAGACAAGGGAGAAAGCTAGACTTGAGGAAATCTGATGCTGGATAATCTACAAAATGCATAGTAATTCTTGTGGGTAAGTAGTCAAGAGTTCTGTTAGACTTGCGGGCTCCAAGTATATACTTAATATCCTAATAATTCACTGTGATCTTAGGGCTGCTTTTCTTAAATATAGTCTAATTAAATCATACATAGACTTTCGTAGGTGTTTTAATTAATTCAGAATTACAAGAATATCAGCAATATCAGCAATTACAAGAATATCAGTAATATCAGCAATTATGTAATACATTAAAGCAAAGTAGCTATGTGACCCACAAAAGTCACCTCCAAATTTGACCTAAATGATCTAGACTGGTTGTTTTAGAGAAAAAATTGGTGTTGTAATGATGCACATCTGTATGCAAAGAACATTCATTTGAAATAATAAACCACCTATTTAGCTTTTAAAAATTATGTTTATCCAGGAAGGCTGTCTTCACAGTCAAAATTCTCTGGGGAAATGAATATTCACCACTGACTGCATGCTGTAGGGATATGGCTTGACATGATCCAAAGCCTTACTTAAATAACCTGCAGGCTGATGTAACTAGCAGAAATGAAGAAGAGATGTCTCTCAACTATCTAAGAGAAGCCCTGGATATTACTTCATCTCGTGAGTCCAGTTAGGATCCAAGTATGAACATGTATGAAGTCTAGGTATAAAAATGCTCTGCTCACAAGACAACGGTGACAGATGTTGGCTTGGGCATTCCCTCAGCTGTATTCATACGCACCTTGATTCATCAAAACAAGGCTTCCTGTGAGCAAGGCCATGCAGTTGGTGGGCTGATGATTGTGAAGGTACTGAAATCCCCATCCTCTCCTGTATGAAGTTTCATACATATATCCGGAGACGTTGGCAATCACTTCAAGAAACTTTTCCTGTTGTGTCTTGCTCAAGTAGTTGTACAAGAAGTCATAGGCAGTGGCAAAACCAACCAGAGAGTGAGCAAGCGGGACTTCATCCCAAGGAGCATCTTTCACCAGCCTGCCAAGGAAAATCAACCACATGAATGAGTGCAACAGTCCCACAGCATTTATCACACTTTTCGAGGGTCTGTTTCTTAGGAGGAAAGGGCACAATGGAAGATACAATCTCAGAGGTTTAATGCCTCATAATTAGCTTCCTTCCACATTAGACACAGCATAAAGTCTGTCTCGTGTGAAAATTTTAGAGCGAATGCTTTCCTCTGTCAGCTTTCTGGCCACATCAAGATGTTGAGAATTTTTACTTTTGACTTTTTATTTTTGATGAGAGGTAGAAGAATATATTAAAATAGATCTAAGGCACATAACATGTAGTAGCAGGGCAAAATCTCAGAAGCATCTATTTAACTACTACTCACACTACCCTCTTTACAAATAAGAGGTTCTCAGTTCTGTTTTACGGCCGCCTTGGCAAACCAGTGGAAGCATGTATCCCATCCTATTTCCCACAGGCTGGACCAGGTGAAGGTATCCTGGCTTATAGTTTATGACTTCTCAATCTGGACAGACCCACTTGGTCAAGGCCATGAGGAGAATGAGAGTGAGTAGAGTGGCTAAAAATCTGTTAGTGAAATGAACTTATTCTAACTCAGATCTTTACATCTCGTTCCTTCTTGTAAGATGAACCGCATTGCCTTTAAGTTCCTTTGAGTATCTTTCAGAGAAGTGTAAAAACTGACCTGTGAAGTATGAAACCATTATTTTCTAGGAAGCCAAGTTTCTGCTTGGCTGGCTACATTATTCTGCAATGTTTTATTTAACAGTGCATGACCTGCATTACACAGGAAGCTTCGAAGGGATCTTTCACAATCACAATTCCGTGGAACTATCCAGAAAGCCCTCCCCATGTGCTCAAGATGTATTTGCATAATCTCTGGGACAGAGACACGAGTGAAGAGTGTGCTGTACAGGTGGGCGGTGGAAGAATACTCTTGATTGGGGATTAAATGAAAGCTTAATATTTCTATGCCATGAACCACTTGACCTCTGGGCAATCTGGTGAAGCCTCGGCCTCTTTCTCAGTGTTTGAAAATTCATAAGATAGAATACAAAGGGATATAAGGAAATCTGTTACTTTGACATGTATCTATCAATACAGATTTTTGGAAAAAATTGTGATCTCTGTGCCTTATTACGGTACTAAAAAATAAGATTTAATAGCAGAGACAGTAACTACTATAATTTATAAGTAGTAATAAGCATAAACAATAGTATCTACAATAACTATAATGTGATATGAAAATATCAAGTGATACTTACCTATGTCAAATTTGTAAGTTCTCCCAATATTACTATAGGGGTATCTATGTTCAAGATTTGGAAGAATTGCTAAATTTCAGTTAGAGTCAATGAAAATGAAGATGCAGTATTCCTCCCATACAAACCCCATCGATCCCAGGACAAGAACAATTAATATTCTGAGTGACCATCTCTTCTAGACTATATTCTTCTTTTAGGAGTTTATATGATGCCTTCTGTGGTCTGTGGTCACGTTGCAGAATTTCTTTTTTTAAAATTTTATTTATTTATTCATGAGAGACAGAGAGAGAGAGAGGCAGAGACACAGGCAGAAGGAGAAGCAGGCTCCATGCAGGGAGCCCGATGTGGGACTCGATTCCCGGTCTCCAGGATCACGCCCTGGACTGAAGGTGGCGCTATACTGCTGAACCACCAGGGCTGCCCACGCTGCAGAATTTCAACATCACTCCCCAACTGATGGTATCTCATTTCCCTTTCTCACTTTTTTGCCTTAGTGTTATGTGTGTATATGTTTATGTATCCTCTACCAGATTTTAAGTCCTACAAGTCTAAGGTTTTATTTTTTCCTCTCTTTTATTCACTACTGGATCCCTAATCCTATAATAGTGTCTGACACAAAGAAGATGCTCAGCAAACCGTTTTGGAAAGAGGAAAAATGAAGGAACAGGCCTATAAATCTAGGCCACACTATTAACAGTGAGTAAATAATCATCACAAATCAGAAATCTGGAGCAATCTCTTGGTACTTAATCATTATTTCAGTGTTTGGTTAGCTGTGGTGCTATGGCCTGGTGCTATGGCCTAGTTATGCAACCCATAACTAGGGTTGATGACTTTTTTAACCATCTGGATACAGACAAAGCCACCTTGCCTGTCAGCTCGCTAGTGTGTACTGGTTATAAACAGACTATGAAGAGTGCAAATTAATTCCCCACTTTTAGGGAAAAAACCAACATCTCCTGCAAGCTCAGTGCCAGGGAGTTAGGAACACAGTCTTCAGTGACTCCTGGTGGTTGGTGAGTGAGGCAGAGAATCTGAGTCATTTGTTTCCCAGCCTGTGTCTTGGAGCCATGTCACGATGCATCTATACATGACAGCATGTCCACCTATTATGGTAGAGTTGACATCAATGAACCACTACTGTCTGCCCAACCCTGGCATATTTGATTAACCAGTGAACTTATTTCTCTTTTTACCAGTGAACTTATTTGTATAGATCAAAGAACATTTATTTTAATTTTCATCCTTCGGGAAGTATTAGTATGCAATCTCTGTGAAAATCTCCAAGCTCTCCCATTATACTTGTTTATTCCAGGCAGTTTTCAACTCAACAAATGCTAGGACACCAATAAAAAAAAAGTTTATACAATCAAGCTCATCACTATATCATTATGATATCTGACCTGTAATAGTTACATTCCTAAAAGGATTTAGATAACAATCTAAATTGTTATTTTAGATAACAATCTAAACATCTAATATCTAATTGTTATTTAGATAACAATTGAGATTGTAATCTAAATCCTTTACCAATACAATCTGACCCAGCCATAGATACCAAGAGCCATGATGAGAGAGAGCATTATTTGACTGTCATGGAAACCAAAGGAAATTTGCTTCTAGCTCATGGATGGCAGCAAAGAAACTATCAGATTCAATGTGATCCTGACTACTGGTTAATAAATCTACTAGTGGAAAAGTTGGTTGAGTGGTGAATCATTTAAAGAAAAAAGTATAGATATTAATTTATGAATTTTATTTCAGCTTAAAATATCTATGTGTATACACATTCACCAATCTTTTGAAGGTGAGCTAAAAAAGCCTTTTCTTTAAATGTGGGTCTACAGATTAGTTCATTGTGGTTCTTTCTGCAAAGCACACACACAAACACATCATCACAATTTCAAGCTTAGTTTCACAATTTAGTTTCTCTATGATATAGGAATTAAAAATACCTGTGAAGGAATGTGGAATCCTTCCAGATTTTTAAGTTTTTTTCCCTAAACTTTAACAAATCTCATCCACACTAAATTATGATAGTAATCTTTTACGGTAAGTAATTCCAAAGCATTTAAGTTAGTTTTAGAAACATACATTCTTTTCCTTTTTTTTTTTTTAAGATTTTATTTATTTATTCATGAGAGACACAGAGAGGGAGAGAGGGGCAGAGAGAGAAGCACGCTCCATGCAGGAAGCCCGACGTGGGACTCGATCCCAGGACCCTGGGGATCACACCCAGGGCTGAAGGCAGGGGCTCAGCCGCTGAGCTACCCAGGCATCCCCATTCTTTTTCTTTTTGAACTCACACTTATTCTATTTATATAATATTAAAATTGTATAAGAACAAGTATTGTTGAAATTGGCATAAACCGATTTGAGAACAAATACCACTGACATTTGCAAACTATCTTATTCTAGAGATGAATGGACGTAGCAGAGGGCAGACAACTGGCCTTGACACTCAGCCTTCTATGAGAGTAGTCGCTGCCAAGGTTACACAAGTCAGTTTAGAGGAGGGTTAGGAAAATTTTTACTGTAGTCTTCTTTTTATAGCCTATACCTTCTCCCCTTAAGAGCCATTCTTAAAATAAGGTCTATGGACCCCTGGGGTCTCCAAGACCCTTTGAAGGAATCCTCAAGTAAAAATTATTTTCCTAATAATATAAAAATATTATATGTTGACAATTGCACTGATGATGCCAAAGCACTAATAGGTTAAAAATGCTGGCAGCTTAAATGAGAATCCAAGCAGGGGCGCTGAACTTCAGGTGATTCCGCATGCTGCCATGTACCCTAAGTTACAAAAGTAAAAACTAAAAAGCCAGTTTCTTTTTTTTTAAATTTTTATTTATTTATGATAGTCACACAGAGAGAGAGAGAGGCAGAGACACAGGCAGAGGGAGAAGCAGGCTCCATGCACCGGGAGCCTGACGTGGGATTCGATCCCGGGTCTCCAGGATCGCGCCCTGGGCCAAAGGCAGGCGCCAAACCGCTGCACCACCCAGGGATCCCAAAAAGCCAGTTTCATTTAAGGATATCCTTGAAAAAGTGGTCAAATGAGAATTTTATAAAATCTCAACCCTCTGAGTAGATCTCTCTTCTGTATTCTGTTATGAAATGGGAAGTATGTATAAAAAAAGTGCAGTGAATACCAAAGGGCAGGGACTGTCACAATGAAAGGAAATTGTGCATTAAGAGCTGAGCTTGTTCCTTTTTTTTGTCATGAAACATCATTTTTACATGAGAGAATGATGAACTGACAAATTCTAGTTATTTAGACTTAGGTATTTTTAAGCGGAAGTTTTCTTGAAAATGAACAAGGAAGCCTGCCAGTTCAAACAAGATTGAAAGCCTTTGTTGCCCAGGACAAAATTTGAGCTTTTTCAAGAGAAAATAAAAATTTTAGAAAGCTTGTATTTGCTGTCATGCGCTTAAGAGTTTACCAATATTCACAAACTTTTCTGATGAGGTCAGTGATAACAGATGTGATTTATTTTTATATTGTATCACTAAATATGTCAATACTTGGAGGACTGTAAGAACTCAGCAAACATTCAGAATAAAAAGGCATGATATTACAAAACTATACACAGATAAAATATAAGTACAAAATATACCAGTGGATTTTCCTGCCAATTAGAAGAGAACATGGTTTCAGATTCGATACTGAAACTTTTATGATCCAGAGTCAATATAAAATTAGCTTGTATGAAACTACCATTTGTCAAGTTCTAACCTAGT